GCTCTTGGGAGCCTTGGTGTGACGAGCTTTTTACGTCACCGCGCTCTGGGGAGCCTTGATGACAAGAGCTTGTTACGTCACCGCTCGCTGGTGGGAGCCACGGCGTTCTCGAGCGGCTCTTGGGCCTCGTAGGGGTCTTCTTGGGGCCCTTTTGGAGCCCTTTGGGAATTTGGGGGCCCTTTGGGGGCAATGTTGGATTGTCTTGGAGCCCTTTTGGGCCGTATTGGAGCGTCTTGGAAGCCTTTAGCCGTCTTGGGGCTCTCTTGGGGGCCTCTTGGGAGCCTCTTTGGGCCCTCCTTGGGTTCTCTGGGGGCCGTCTTGGAGCCCTCTTGGAGGCCTCTTGGACCGTCTGGGGGCCCTCTTGGACAATGTTTGGGCTCTTTCGGGGGCCTCTTAGGCCGTGTTGGACCGACATTTGGAGCCTCTTGGGCCGTTTTGGACCGATCTTGGCCAGAAAAAGCAAGAACCAGCAAAAACCACAGAAACGTACATGTTTTTGTTGCCCCTGGGGTCCCTCTCGGGGGCCCTCTGGAAGGCCTCTGGAGCCGTCTGAAAGCTCTTTTGGACTGACTTTCTTGAGGCCGTCTGAGGCTCTCTTGGGGCCGTCTTGGGGCACTCTTGGGCCGTCTTGGGGCCCTGGGGCCGCGCAACTCGAACAACATGCAAGGAAACGGGCCATGGGAGCCGCCAGGGAGCCACCTTAACTCCAGCAGATGCAGAGAAAACTGGCCAGCACACCCGATCCAGGCGCGCCTCCCGCCCCTCCCCTGGGACCCCTCCCTCAAGGGCTTCGGCGAAGGAACCTCTGGAACTCCCTCCCTCCCCTGGAACTCCCTCCCTCCCTCCCGTGGAACTCCCTCCCCCCCTGGCCTCCCTCACGTTGTCTAGTGGGGCGAAGCCGCTTCGCCCCACTAAACAACGCACATCACTCGTACCTCGCTCTTGCCGTCACCTGACCTGATTGGCATAGGGACGGAAAGCGCGGGCTCTTTTTCTGTGAAGGCGCGAGGTCGCTGGCTAGTGTCTTGGAGCCCTGCTGGTGTGAAGGCCTTGGTACGACATACAAGAATCGATCAAACATCCTGAACCCTCTTGGGCCATCTTGGCGGGCTTCGGCCGTCTTGGGGCTCTTTGGGGGCGCTCTTAGGGACCTCCTGTGACCTCCTGTGGCCCTCTTGGGCCTCGGGAACCTCGCGGGGCCCTCTGGGACCCGTCTCGGAGGGCGCGCCGCTGGATGACCCCAAGGGGGTGGAGGGGGTGGGACCCCTCCCCCTCCCCCCCCCTTTCCCCGATCCGTCGTCGGGGACCCCCCCCTCCCCCCCCGATCCGTCGTCGGGGACCCCCCCACCCCGTCGTCGGGGACCCCCCCCCCCTCTGGGTCCGACCCCCCCCCCCCCCCCCTCCCCCCCTTTGGCCGCCAAATTCGACCCCCCCCTTTCCCCCCCTTTCGCCACGGCGCCCCCCGTCTCCGGAACCCGACCCCTGCCACCCCGAACACTAATCCGCACCCTTGCCTTAACCCCATAACCCTAACCCCAAACCCAAAACCTAGCCCAAAACAGTACTGACTACTCTTTACGCAGTACTCACTACCCACAATTCACTACTCGCTACTCACTACTCTCTTCTCACTACTCACTACCCACGACTCGCTACTCACTACCCCCGACTCACTACCCACGACGCACTATTCACTACTCCCTACTCCCTACCCACTACTCACTACTCACTACCCATTACTCAGTACTCACTACTCACTAAACCATCTCACGACCCACTACTCGCTAATCACAAACCACCACTCACTACCCACGAACCACTATCCACGACTCAGTACTCACGCTTCACTACTCACTACTCACTGCCCACAACTGACTACTATCCACTACTCGCTACTCGCTACTCCCTACACAGTACTCGCTACTCAGTACTCACTACTCGCTACTCCCTAGGCCCTACTCACTACCCAATACGCACTATTCACTACCTACTACTCCCTACTCACTACGATCTCAGTACTCACGATCCTCCCACTGCTCACTACGCACTCTTTCCTACTCCCGACTCACTACTCCCAACTCATTACTCACTACTCACTACCCAGTACTCAATACGCACTACTCACTAAACACTACTCAGTGCCCACTACTCCCTACTCACCAAGCACTACTACTCACTACCCACTAACCAAGACCCACGACTTACTACTGAGAACTCACAATTCACTACTCACTTCGCACTGACCAGAACTCACTACTCACTATCCGCTACTCGCTACCCAATACGACAGAATCACTACCCACTACGCACTACTCGCCACTCACTCACTACTCACAACACACTACTCACTAGTCCCTAATCGCAAGTCGCTGCTCACACTACTCACTACTCACTACTCACGACTCACTACTCACGAATTTATATTCGCTACTCCCTACTCGCTACCGACTACTCAAAACCCATTTCTTGCTTCTCACTACTCACTACTCACTACTGTTTACTCACTACCCGCAACTCACTACTCACTATTCGCTACTCCCGATTCGTCACACACTACTCCCTACTCACTACTCACTACTGACTCCAGACTACTCCCTCCTCACTACTCACTATTCATAACGCCCTACTCGCTACTCACTACTCGCTACTCCCTACTCCCTACCCGCTACTCCCTACTCGCTACTCGGCACTCGCTACTCACCACTCACTACTCACTACTTTCTAATCACTGCGCACTACTCACTACTCACTATTCACTACTCACTACTCGCTATTCGCTACTGTCTACTCCCTGATCCCTACCCCCTGCTTACTACCCACTATGCACTACTCACTACACACTGCTCACTCCTCACTCCTCTCAATTCCTTACTCACTACTTCCTTCCCACTACGCTCTACCCATCACCCAATACTCACTACCCACTAATCTCTACACTCTACTCACTACTATCACTACCCATTACCCACTACTCACTACTCACCACTCACGACTCACTGCGCACTACTCACTATCAAATACCCACTACTCACCAGCCGCTACTCAAAACACCCTACTCTCTTCTCACTACCCGAGAGGCCCCCTCCGCAGCCCCATGTTCGTCGCAAAGGGGGGGAGGGGGGGAGGGGGTTCGAACCCCCCCTTCCCCCTTACCAGCGCCAAGGGAAAAGGGAGGGGGGGGGGTGGGGGTCGGGACCCCCCCTCCCCATTAAGGGAGGAAGGGGGGGGGGGGGGGGCGAAAATATCACCCCCCTTTTGAAGGGGGGAGGGGGGGGGGGTTCTGCGAGCACCCCCCCGCTTTAGTGTATTCAGGGCCATCCACTGGCGCGCTTTCCCCGTCTCGGACCGTCTGTGAGCTCTCTTTGGCCGTCATAGAGCCCTTTGAGCCGCCTTGGAGCGCTCTTTGGGGTATCTCATGCCGTCCTGGGGCGGTCTTGGGAGCCTCTTGGGCCATCTTGGACACCGTGAAGACCAAACAAGCACATATTCTAAAAATGTTCGTTTTCCGATAAAGGGATGGGACGATGTTTGCCTCTGTGGAGTCCCATTGGGGGCCTCCTGCGGCGTCTTGGTGGCCTCTTGGGCCGTCTTGAAGCCATGTTGGGCCCTCTTTGAGCGCTCAGGGGCCGTCTTCGGGCCCTCTTGGACCTCTCCGATCCGCCGCCCCATGTTGATTTCTCATAGGGGTGCCTGGCGTGCTGGATCCTACGATGTTTGGTTCTGGTTCTTTTTCTCCATCTGGAACTTCGGCCCAGCTTGCTGGCCACCCGGAAGGGACCAGAATGCACCTCAACGTGCGCAAACAATTCTCCAAAGACGGCTCAAGATGGCCTCTCCGACGGCCAAGATGTCTCAAGATAGCATCCAAGATGCCTCCAAGAAGACCAGCAAGATAGCCCCTGGAGACCTCAATCTGACCCCAAGATGCACCCAAGACGGTCCAAGATGGCCTCACGACTGCTGAAGAGGACTCCAAGAAACTCTCCAGGAGTGCCCGAAGAGGTCAGATTCATGACGTTACGACGTAAGGAATTTGAAAGATTTAGCCCTTTGATTATTTTCGGCCTTCCAACGGCTGGCCCAAGAGGGCCCCAATATCGCCCCAAGATGACCCCCAAGGCCTCCACGATGACCTCATGACGGCCCAAGAAGCAGCCATGACGGCCCCAAGAAGGCCTCAAGACGGCCCAGGAGGCCTCCAAGACGCCCATGATGGCCTCCCAAATGGCCCTGAGGCGCCCCAAGAGGGCCCCAAGACGGTTCAAAGAGGCCCCCAGAGACGGCTTCCGACGGCGTCAGACGGGCCAGGAACGTCCTAAGATTACCAAAGAAGCCCCCAAGAAGCCCCAAAATGCCCCCAAGAGGGCCCTCCCCCATGAGGCTTCCAAGAGGCCTCCGAGAGGCCCACAAGAAGCTCCCAGAAGGCTCCACGAGTCGTCCTCCTCCAACTCCTCCTCCTCCTCCTGCTCCCTCCTCCTGCTCCTCCTCCTCAGCCTCCTCCAACTCTCCTCTTCCTTCTCCTCATCCTCATCCTCCGCCTCATCAGCCTCATCAGCAGCCTCCTCCGCCTCCGCCTCCGCCTCCGCCTCCGCCTCCGCCTCCTCCTCCTCCTCCTTCTCCTCCTCCTCCTCCTCCTCCTCCTCCTCCTCTCTATTCGTCCTCCCTCTCCTCCGCTTCTTCGTTCTCCCCCCGCTTGTTCCCCGGAGGGTTTCCGCAACAGCTGTGGGAATCCATGGTCGGATAGCTTGGCAGAGCTCTGGCCACAGCGTTCGGCCACAAGGGCGATTCTAAAAGGCGGGGGGCGGCGTTGATCCGCCGTAGGCGTCTTCGACAGAAGAAGAAAGAACCACACGAACATGAACTCTCGACGGTCATCGTGGACTTCTTGGGTCGGCCCTGGGCCGCGCGCCTCGGGCGCCGCCAGGGGGTTCCAGCGCCGATCCCAGAATCCGCGCAGACCTCCGACAGTTTGCATCTACGCCGTTGTTTACTCTTCGAGCTGAGACAGAAATGGCCCTCGTCGTTGTACGTCTGCTGAACATTGTTCTGCCCGGGCGGCCCGGTGTTGGGCATGTCGGCCAGGGGGACGAGGCCCACCTCCTCAAACTGGCGGGTGATCAACCGCACGTATTGCAGCTTCATTGCCTCGTACGTCGGCACCGCGCGGCCACCGTGACACTGCTTGAGCGCATCCAGCCACCATTGCCATACGTCCACCTCGGGTGCAAGCGACATGTCATCAAGATTCGATGACCCCTTCTTGGGGGCACCAGGCTGCGAAGTTGATACTGGACTGCTATCTTGGTGGCAGGCTGTCTCCGCAGTCGAGTCTGCTTTCAACTGTCTTCGCGGCGACCATGAAACACGCTCGATAATGTGAGCTGGCCCCCCAGGCCGCCTGATGTTGCGCCCGACGACCTGAGTTCCAGAACGAGGAAGGCAGAAACCTGCACAAGCAGGGGCATTCCACGGCGAGCACACCCTGTATGCGCGGCGGAGAACGCTGCATGCTCTACTACAGGAAGCACGGCAAGGAGCTGGACGTGCTGAACGCGCTCCTACTGTGCTCCTATCACAACGGCCTTGAGACGCCTCGGGTCTATCTTGAAATGAATGGGGAGCCACCAAACGACCCTGTGGGCCCAAGAGGGCTCCAGGATGTCCCTCAAAAGAGCTCCAAGAACCCGCATCGGTCCAAGCGAGGATGGGTACGCCACAATATGACTACCAAACATGGCTCAAAAAGGGCCACGAGGCCACAAGCATCTCGCCTTTCCTTCTCCCAAGACGGCCCCAAGCCAGCACTTCGAGGCCCTGCTGTATCCCAGAATTGCCCAACAAGGCCCGAGGTTCCAAGACGCTTTGAATGCTGCCCAAGATCGCCAATCACGGGCCAGGGATAGGACGAAGGGGCCCCACTGGGAATTCAAGAAGTCCCCAATTACCTACGGACTACAATCTGCGTTAACCTTAAACATTCCTGGGCGTTGTCTTTACAATCCTGAACTCGGCGTGTTGGATATCATGATATCAGTGTTTCAGCGTTTCCAGGTCTCGACAGAAACACTAAGAACGCTAGACACAACACATGCGTTTGCGTTTTCAGTTCCTTGTTCTGCGCTTTCAAATTAGTTGACTGCGTTTTTCGACATTGCTGTCTACGACGACCTCACGTCCTTCTCCTTGCGTCGAGTTCTCCCCATAGTATTATGTTTACTCCTATTGTTATGTCTGTTCCTTTTGCCTTTCTCTGCCATCGCTGCTGGCTGGTCGCGGGACCTCCCGGCCTATTCCGCGCCTCTGTTGGACCGGTGCTCGGGTTTTTGCTTCGCGTTGTTTGCTCTGCGCGCGGAGTGTGAGAAACGGGAGGCAGCACCAGCAGGAGGGCGGGACCGAAGACGGCGAGGAAGACAACGAGCATCCCTTGGCAAGAGAGCGAGACACGCTGAACCAATGATACTCCACAGCGACGGGCCTGAGAAAGTAAACACAACGACCTTAAACACGCTAGCACAACGTAGCTTGTTTGTTTAGGTCTCGCAACCTCTCGAAAAAAACAAAGTACAGAACGGTAAAGCGAACAACAACAACAACAACAACAACAACAACAACAACAACAACAACAACAACAATACTATCAACAACAATCACAACAGTGACGACAACAACAACAACACCACCAACACCCACAACATCATGAATAACAACACCAACAACAAGAACAGCACCTACACCAACAACAACAACAAAACTTACCACAACCACAACCATCACCACAATAACCAAATAACTACACAGGGAACAGCAACAACAGAGACGCCCATAGCGGATTCTTCATATAAGCCAAGACGACAATGCGCTCATCAGCTTGCTCAAAGCATGGCCCATAGATGACCTGGGGTGCTTCGTCAGACGTCTCCCAAGATGCTCCGAGGTAGCTCCATGCAAACTCAGCCCGGGGAGGGTGGCGCCAAAGGGCGCAGCCAGTAAGATAAGCCGGGTGATATGTCTTATATTCAGCCTCGGTCGGCATCGCAGCAAAATGTGGAGCCCACTCGGACGCATCGCCCTTCTCCTGCTCCAGTGCCATCCAGAAAGCCAAGCGGGAGAGGGAGTCGCACGAGGCAGTGTCCACGTCGCTGGGCAGGAGAAAGCTCTGGGCATCGTCCGGGCTTATCGCGCAGCGCCGCGGCACACAGATCGCGTACTCATCTCGTGGCACGTCCTGGGCAACCCCTATACCCCTCACAGGGTGCCCAGCCTTGTCGAAGAGGCCCACGAAGAGGCGGGCAGTGCCAGTCGCACCGCACTCGTCCTCCAGCCACGCCGCCAGCCTGGCAACCACTGGATCGGGGTCGGCTCGCCCCGTCTGCCGCCCCCGCGGGGGCTCGGCCGGCGCGCCTGCGGGGCGCAGCACCGGAACCTCACCGATGCGCAGGGGTAAGAAGGCGCCGTCCACCCGCAGCCAGCTCCGCACGGCAGTGCCCTCGACGCTCTCGCCCCAGCCGAGCACGCGGCCGGCGATGGCGCTGCCCAGGTCCGGGGCGCTGTAGAAGCCGACGCCCTCGGGCACGTCCGCTCGCAGCCTGCTGCTGTCTGCGAACCACTCCCGCTTCTCCTCCAGAGCTCGCATCGTCCTGAGGTCTTGGGAGTCCTTCACACGCTCACGCTCGTCATCGTCGTCCCAATCGATCTGGAAGCGGCCCGCCTCCAGCTCGCGGGCTGCTGGAGGAACACGAAGAAGGCATGCACACAAACCCTCGGAGGTCCGCGCGGATTCCTCGCATCGGCGCCGGACCCTCCCCCCTGGCGCGCGGCGCCCCAGTGCGCGCCAGCCAGTGGGGCCCCGTGCCGATCCGAGGCGGCCGCGCGGAGCCCCGAAGGCTGTGTGCTTGGACCGCCGTTGCTTCTCCGGGCTACGGTGGCAGGGTACCACTTCCCGTCCTCGTCGAACAGGGCCTCAACCCGGTCTCCGGCAGCCAGCGGCTCCGCGGGCGCGGCCCGCAGCTGCGAGGGCCCCCTGGCGCGCTGCGACCCGTGGCCGTCGTCCCAGTCGACCACGAACCGGCCACCCCCCAGATCCTCGACTACGGCCAGAAGACCAAACGCTGCAGACGCAGAAGCGAGCGACGACGAGAGATGGGTCCGACGCAAGAGGACACAGGCGGCCGTGCGCGGTGGCCTACGCGGGCCGCCAGTGCGGCACGCTGCAGTGGAAGCGAGGGCGCTTACGCACGACCTTACGCGGGCAACTTACGCGCGAATGTCCGCGAGACCGAACCCGATTTTCCGCGTCGCTCCCACGATGCCCTCCCGGCCGAAGACCCGAAACATCTGTACGCACCTCCCGACGGGAGACAACGACGGGGGGGAGCAACGACGGGAGGCAACAGGTGGGCAGTGGAGGCCAACGTCGCCCGGCCGATGTCGGTCCATCCGTATTCGTTTTTCCTCACAGAACTGCTTTTGCTCGTCGGCGGAAAGGCTATTCGGGGCAGACGAAAGGCGAGTTGTCTGGCGTACGAGAGGGAGGAGAAAGACGAGGGCGGCCGCTCGGGGGGAGGGGGAGGGGAAAGCGCTCAGAGGTTCTCGCAAAACATCAGGGTGGCAAAACCACGCCGCGATACAAACCGTCGCTCAGCAGACCGGGAAGACCGCACAAAAACCGACTTGCAAGAGGCAGCCTTCTGCCATGAGCCGTGGACTGGGCGACACCTCGGAAGTAGAAAAGTTGAGCAGAAAAGTTGGCAGAGAAGCTAAGAGAACCTTTGGAACTGGGGGCGGACCTCTCGCGTCGGCGCCGGGCCCCCCTTCCCACACGCCGGTTTCCGAGCGGAGCCCTTACAGACGAGCTGTTCGTGGAACTTTCGGAGGTTGCCGGGGGCGGCCGAGAGGCGGGGTCGCACATCATGGCCGGCTGCACGTGGGCGGCCCAGGGGGCGGGGGGCCAGGGACGCAGTGAAGAGGCGCCATGAGATCTTGGGAAGCATCATGGCCCCCCCGCCGCGATATCCAACCACCCCCCCAGTCATGACCCCCCGCCTTGCCGCCCCCGAAAGTCTGCTCCCGGCTTTGGGGACGCGAAACGGTGCGGTGACAGACCGTGCGGGGACCTCGACATCCCCCAAGACCTCACTGCACGGTCCGTCAACGCACGATTTTGGGACCTCGGAGGCCCCCAATCGCCCGAGACGTCCTCAGAGAGGGACTCGAGTCCCAAAACCGTGCGGTCCCGAATCCCCACCGACTCACCACACGGTGTGGTCACCACCCCGTCTGGGGGCCCCCGACGGGCGCTCCTCCTCACGCGCCGGCTATCTAGCGCGCAGGGCGGGCGGGCGGCGGCGGCGAACCGCCGACGCAAGGTTTTTCCGCGCGGGCCTGCGGGAGGCTTCTGTGTGCAGGCGGGGCGGGCCGCACACAGCCATCGCGCGGCCAGGAGAAGCACCGAATGAGGGTCGGGGTCGGGGGGAGGAGGCGGTGGGAGGAGGCGGAGGGGGAGGCGGAGGGGGAGGGGGAGGAGGAGGAGGAGGAGGAGGAGGAGGAGGAGGAGGAGGAGGAGGAGGAGGAGGAGGAGGAGGCGGAGGAGCCTCTTCGTGGCCGAGGTTCGCCCGGCCACGGCGAGCCTCGGCCACGCAGAGGTTCCCCGACCAAGATCCGGGAAATGGCCCAAGAGCCGAAGCCCCTCCTGAGTTCAGAGTGGTCCCTCCTGCAGCGTCTTCACCGTAAGGCGCCGCAAGAGGATACAATGATACAACCGTCTTCTGAGGGCAACCCGTGCCACCCACATGAGAAAGGCACGAAGCGAGATAGACTGGGAACAGGGGATCGCTGGATTCTGCAGGGTCGACCTTCAGACCCGACCGTATGCTGTCCCCAGACCTTTGACTGCTTGCTTTCTTCATGACGTGACCCCCAAAGGTCTTGACCCCTTCCACGGCGTCTTTTTCATCCTGAGTCGTCGTTGATGATCCTGAGGCCCGGTAAGGGCCCCCACTTGGATGACTGCGGTGGTTCCTGAGGGCACAGCGGGGTGAAACGCAGATGTGAAGGTGGGCTCCATCTGGCCGTATCTAGCCTACTAGTAGGTTGCACTTGTCCTCAACAACTGAAAGGAATGGGTAACTCCGGTAAAGGTGCGCCGCACGCTTAGCACAGATCTCTTTCCCCCGAGAGCCGCACCCCCCGCGGCTATCAAAGCAGAGGCCGCACGTAGCGAAACAGCTGCCGTCGTAATTTCCGTCACGGCTCGAGGGACTCTGCGTGGAGGCGGCCAGGGGGTCTGAGCTGGCTTGGACCCAAAGAAAAACGGTCAGGAGGGGGGATGAGGCCAAACCTGCTCCAAATCTGTCTCCAGACCCCTCCCAAGAGCCATCCAGCGCAAGTTTTCACCCCAGGTGCGCTTCTGACCGTTCCAGGGCCCGAAAACGGCCGAGTCTCCTCCCCCTCCTGCTCGCCAGAACCCGTGCTGGGCCATCTCAGATCCCCAGACGCTCCAAGGCTCTGCGTATTTTGCTCTTCTAATAGTGGCGCCATGCCAGCGCAAGGCTTCCACGCGGTCGCCCACCCGCAACCCGCCGTCGCCGTGCCAGGACGCGGCGCAGTACACCAGCCTGGGCGCCGCCACCAGCGCCGCGCCCAGCACGATCGCGAAGGCGCGGCGCGGGCTCACAAGCAGCCCGCAGCCACACGTCATCGGGCCGCACAATGGGGAAGCAACGACAGGGGGGATACGACGTGCAGCAGGAGCTCGACCACAAGAAACCTTCCACAAGAAACACAACCATGAGACCCAAGTGCGTCCATTGATGTTTGGTGTGGGAACGGAATGCGTTCCACAGCGAAACCATTGGAACCCGAAAAACCTAGGGCACCCTGCATGCAAAGAAGGGTGTTTCTTGGCATGGGTTTCCATTCTACGTATTCGACCACGGACCCATTGTTACCCATCTGCCTCGTGCGGTCTTCAGCGGTTTTCGGCGGTTTCTGGCGGTCTTCGGCGGCTACCCGCGGTCTTCGGTGGTTTCTCGCGGTCTGCGGCGGTTTCCCGCGGTCGTCGGCGATCTTCGGTATGAACGCAGGACGCTTGGGTTCAACAAGGAGTCCATGATCGAACACCTAAGGAGAGGGCTCAGGTTTGGGAAACATCCAGCTGGAATCGGCGATACATCGCCGATATGGGGCCTGATAGCCCGCCCCGCCCAGGAATGTGCGGATTCGCCATCGGGGGCCTCTCGCCGATCCATCGGCGATGTATCGTCGATTCAAGCTCGATGCTTAGAGGTCTCCTAGATGGGGTCGGAGGATCGCGCCGCATCGCTGACGCATCGGCGATGTATCGGCGATGCATCGGCGATGCGCCAGCAACGTCGGCGATGCACTGGCGACGTCGGCGTGGAGAAACTCGGGCTCCACATCGAGCCGCATCGCCGATGCATCGGCGATGCGGCGCGATCCCCCGACCACATCAACTCTGACCCCATCTAGGAAGCCTCGAATGTTTCCCCCTTGGAGCCTATTGTCCCGTGCCGTTGCCCCCGAGCGGTGGCTGGCCGAGACCAGCCCGAAACTCAGACGATACGACTCGTCAGTCCGGGCGTTGCCCTCGAAAAACTTCCACAAAACCTTCCTCGGGAAGGTTTTTTGGGGATTCCTCTCAAAAACCTTCCAAAAACCTTCGTCGGGAAGGTTACAGGGTGGCTTCCCCATAACAGCCTTCCTACAACCTTCCCCAATGAGTTTTTTGCAGAAAAACAATCCCCGGGGAAGGGGTTGGGACCTCCCCTGAGATCCAATGCTGACGAACAAACATCACATTACACCAATCAATGGATGGTTTTCGATAAAAGAAATCGACCGGGAACCCGGGAACTCGGCACCCACCGAAATCGGCCCAGAACCAATAAGCAAGAACCCGGGAACCCAGAACCAGGAACCCAGCAACCCAGCCGGCTACCAAAATCGGCTGGGAACTTTCGCGAAATCTTTAAATTTCCGCTAGGACCCCTTCAGTGCAAACCCTGATTGGGGAACATCGCGAGGCATCACGACTAGGACCCTGGACCCTATCTTTCTGCTGCCCTTTCCGGACCAGACCGCCCTGAGATGGCCGCCAGGAGGCCCGCCAGCCGAAACATCGCCCAGCGTGGCACAACTGCAACGCCCAGATCTCGGGGTCTGTTGGCGGCGCGCGCAGCGGGAGCGCAGGGGGACGGGGAACGGCTTCTTAGAGAGAGGCTGCTTCTTCGAAGGCGTCGGCCCTACATCTACAGAGAAGGCCCGCGCCTTCTCAGAAGCAGGGGTGCTTCTGAGAAGAATTCCCCCCCCCCCTCCCCCATACCTGGTGGAAGGACATACGGCGTAAACATAAACTGTTGGAGGTCCGCGCGGAATTCGTGGATCTGCGCTGGACCCCCCTCCCTGGCCCGACGCAGATCCAAAAAATCCGCGCGGAGCGCCGAAAGTCAATGTTTATGGTTATTCTTCTTCTTCTTCTTCGACTTCCTGACCTTCCAGAGAGTTTTTTATAAAAACACTCCAGACCTATAGACCTATCTGGACTGCCTCAAACCTCGTCGACGTTCCGGTGCTACTGATAAGCCCTCCTGAAAGGTCACCCCCCTCTGCACGTGGCTGAGGTGCACAAGTCGTATTGTCAAAAGTCTGGTCGACGGCGGGCGGACGGCGGCAAGCTGGGTGACGCCCTCGCCGCGGGCCCCCTGCCGAGCTACCTCGAGCCTGGCGTCGGCCCCCAGAGCTGGGCGGCGCAAGCTTTTTTCACACCAGTCGGAGGAGGAGGAGGAGGAGGAGGAGGAGGAGGAGGAGGAGGAGGAGGAGGAGGACGAGGACGAGGAGGAGGAGGAGAGAGGAGGAGGAGGAGGAGGGAGGAGGACGAGGAGGAGGTTGATGAGGAGGGAAGAGGGAGAGGGAGGAGAGGAGGAGGAGGAGGGAGGAGGAGGAGGAGGAGGAGGAGGAAAAGGAGGAGGAGGAGGAGGAGGAGGAGGAGGAGGAGGAGGAGGAGGAGGAGGGATAAGGATGAGGGATGAGGGAGGGGAGGGCAGGAGGAGGGAGGAGGAGGAGGAGGAGGAGGAGGAGGAGGAGGAGGAGGAGGAGGAGGAGGAGGAGGAGGGAGGAGGAATATGAGGAATTGGTTTACTGGTGTACTGGTTGTTTGGTGCTTGAAGGTGGAGGTACTTTTGGGCCCCTCCCTGCAGCCGTCTTCGCTGGCCGAGGGGCTGCAGGGAGATCCTCGGCCCCCTCCATTGGCTATTGGCGCCGTCAAGTATTGGTGTATTGGTGTATTGGTGGGAGGGGGCGACCCAAGCGGCTCCGATGATGGCAGCCGCAAGGGGTGTGAGACCTATGATGGTCCTCGCTGGTGAGGCCTATGATGGTCCTCGCCAGGGTGGTGGTGGGGGAAGAGGGCAGAAAGTTGAAGCGGATGTCTGGCAGCAACGCCCTGGGGGGATACCTGAAAAGGGGACTTACAAACAACGTCAGGATGTTCCAAAGTGAAGAGGGAGGAGGGAGGAGGGAGGAGGGAGGAGGGAGGAGGGAGGAGGGAGGAGGGAGGAGGAGGAGGAGGAGGAGGAGGAGGAGGAGGAGGAAGAAGAGGCGGCCCTCGGGGGCTCCAGAGCAGCCGCCACGATGCACAGCGGGCCCCAGGGGCCCCAAGACCGGGCGAAGAGCTGGGGACACTCTGGGCCAGGGGCACCTCCAGCAACCCGCGAACCAGGCGCCTTATCCCGTTTCACGAGCCCTGGGACACCCACGGAACGATCCGACTCGAAAGAGGAACGCAGGAAGCTGGCGTCTGGGGCTCTGGTCGCGAGTTTTCGCGATGCTGCGATTTGTCGCAGCGTCGGAGCTCACGGGCCGAGACCACGTCGGCGGCGGGCGGCGGCAGGCTGGGCAACGCCCTCAGCTGTGCGGCCTCGAGCCCCAGATGGGCCCCAGGACACCCACGGATCCATCCGACTCGAAGGAGGCCGCACAAAGCTGGGCCCCCCGGACCCCCGACGCCATGATCGGTCGATAACGTCGTCTGGACCCCTTCCCCTGGACCCGCTTTCCATCGTGAGTCGTCATTGGACGGCCCCGAGGCTCGGTACGGGCGCCCAGAGGTCGAAAGTAGCGGACGATCTCCCGTCGGGGTTTTGGCACGACGCTCCAGTCGTCGTCGCGTCCGCGCGGGGCCCGCGACGTCCACCTCCCCCTGCTCATGGGACATTGCTACTGCCGCCGCCGCCGCTGCTCCTCCTCGCTCCTCCACCTCCTCTTCCTCCTCTTTTTTGAAGGTTGCTGGGGGCCTGGATATGAGGATCATGGCGTTCTTCCTCTCCTCCTCCTCCTCCTCCTCCTCCTCCTCCTCCTCCTCCTCCTCCTCCTCCTCCTCCTCCTCCTCCCTCTCCTCCTGCTCCTGCTCGTGCTCGTGCTCCAGCTCCTCCTCTCCTCTCCTCCTCCTCCTCTTCTTCCTCCCCCTCCTCCTCCCCTCCTCCTCTCCTCGTCCTCGCTCCTCCTCTCGTCCTCGCTCCTCCTCCTCCTCCTCCTCCTCCTCCTCTTCCTCCTCCTCCTCCTCCTCCTGCTCCGCCGCATTCTCGTCCGTCCTCCTCGTCCTTCCTCCCCGTCCTTCCTCCCGTCGGGCGATTTCACGACACTGCGGGCGGGCCGCGGCAGGCCGAGCCAACGCCCCCGCCACGGACCCGCGGCTGGGCGACCTCCAGCCTGTCCCTCCCCCTCTCGGCGGGCCCTGCCAGGGAGCCCACAAGGAAGGCACGCGCCCAACCACGTCGCGCGCGCTTGGTGCGCTGGCGGAAAACAGCTGCACCCTTTCTTTGCTTATCCCTGCGGTAGGGGCAATAGCGCTATCAGTGACGCTTAGCGGAGGTGAGCTGCTCCTATTGACACGGGATAAACATGTAAGAGGAGGTGAAGGGGGGTACATGTTTATCAAGGGCACTGGGTTATTCTAATTCGCGAGACCGGACTCGTGATTCAAACATTCGCGCAATGCGTACTCTCGAAACTGACGTGGATTCATGTACATGTCGTCCTTCTTTCGCTCCGGAATTACCTGCCGTTCTCTCCTGCGAGCTCTGCCATGGGCCCTGGGTTGCCCATCGGCCTTCGGCAGTCTTCTGCGATAAATCCGAGCCCAATACCCTGGCCGATCAACGATTCGGGCAACTCGGTGGGCGGCAGCGGTAGGGTTCGAAATCATTCGAACGCGTGCCGAAGAACAAACCCTTGCCCCGCCTCCCATCGGTTCCGGAGAACCGATGGTGGGTTGGGGTACTCCGAGTTTCTTCATGAACGTCGGGGGGGCGTCACCCCCGCCGACAGCCCCGCATCGACCCCGGTTGCGGGCAGCCACCGCGCGGCGAAGGTGCTCCGACCCCAATCGCCGCGCGACGACGAGGCGAGGCTGACCCCCGTCGGAAGGGGATCCCCCCACGCTTATGGAGAAACCTGGGGTAGGGCTCGGGCGTCACTGCCTGCCGGGCCCCGCCGCGTCGCGACAGAAAACCACGACGAGCGGCCTGCGGCCGTGCTCGGCCTCGGGGCCGCCAGACGACGACTCGGGACGAGGAGCCAGTGCCCGGGGAGGGGCCCCGACCTTGCCAGCTCCCCAGGCATGCTCGTCGGCGCTCTCGCCAGCCGCCCACAGGCGTTTCCCGGGAGAGCGCCTTGGAGGCT